ATGCCAGTAATAGTCTGGATTACTCTAAACAACTGTGACATTTCTTTGATCATCAGTTGTACTGCTTGTGAAACGGGATCATAATGACTTATGGAGACTGTCAAAGAGTTTGAAAGATTATGTAAAATTTCCAGCTCAGTGTTTGTTCTGAGAGCAGACACCATAAAGTCATGACAATATCTGCGCCACACACAGACTGAGTGACCTCAGTGCCACCATAAGGGCCCGCTGAATCTCACCCCTGCTGGTCTTCTCCACTGGCGACACTCATCTGCCTGGCCCTGCCTTAGTTCACTTTCTATCACTGTGACAAATGGAAGGCCAGGAGTGTGGGGTTCAACGGGATACTGTGGTGGACTGGGATTTGGGGTAAGAAGAAGAATAAAGAAGAGCTATCAGAAATTCAGACAGACAGACAGCAGGATGCCAGGGCCTCTGGACAGAGTGGGCACCCTTTCTTTTAGATCTCAGAGAAAGAGAGGTTTCACAGCACACTCCTGGAACCAGGCTGTGTCTCATTCCCAAGCAGCAGAGGGTGGCTGGATTCCAGGGAAGGGGTGTGTGACTCTGAGAATGTGGGAGGAGTGAGGGGGAGGGGTAAACTTCCCATTAAATGGGTGAGGGAATGTGTGACCACTCTGAGGTCCCAGGGGCCTTGGCAACCTGAGGTCTGTCTGCCATTCTCCTGAAATCTGGGCACCCAGGGAATCTATTTATGGACAAGCCCTAGGTAGGGGGGCTTGCCATCTCCTCACAGTACGAGGGCTTCCACAGGTGGACTGAGCAGCAGGCTGGCCTGGATTCTAACAACAAATACCCAATCAGCTCACAAAGGGGAAAGGTTAATGTGGACTCATGGTTTTACATGGGTCTAATGTGCAGTTGGTTGGTCTGCATGGTAGAAGTGATATTATTGAATTAAACCACTCACCCAATAGATTGTGAGGGTGAGTGGGGAAGTGGGGGAGCCTCAAGACCATCCAAGGGCGTACTCTTCAGTATCCTAAGACTCTCTCACTAAACCCCCATTTGTCTTTTGCAGTGGGACATGGAAAGGATTTTTTATTCTTGTCTCATACATTACCTCCTGACTGCAGTTTCTCCTTCCTCTCAGTGCCCCCTAGCTACCCTCTCCCCAGATCCACTCCTCATTTACCCCCCCAAAAAAGAGCAACTCTCCCAGGGATATCAACCAAACATGGCACAACAAGTTACAGAAAGCCTCCTACTAAGGCTGGAAGAGGTAACCCAGTAGGAAGAATAGGGTCCCAAGTGCAGGCAAAAGAGTCAGAGACACCCCTGCTCCCACTGTTATGAGTCCCACAAGAACACCAAACTACACAACCATAACATATATGCAGAGGATCTAGCTCAGATCCATACAATGTCTGTGTTTGTCACTTCAGTCTCTGTGAGCTCCTATGAGCCCTGCTTAGTTGAATCTTTGGACCATGTTTTCATGGTGTCCCTTTCCAGAGGGACCCCATAAACCCTAACACACACTCTTTAACACATGAATCATTGGGGGCACTCAAAATCTAAATTGCTGCAATCGCTTGTAGAGTTTTGTTTTGTTTATATTTATTTATGTTTATTTAGTGTATGCCCATGTGTTTGAATGCCTAGAGAAATGGCAGTAGGGAAACAGCCTGTAGGAATGACTTCGTGCTCTTCTTCTACCATATCAATCCTGGTGACATGCACCTCTACTCCTTGAGAGGTCTCACTGTCCCTGCGTCAATGTTTTAACAGAGTGAGTCTGATTGTTGATATCAGAGCTTCTTAAAAATTTTCCACTCAGGGCACCTACACCCCTAAGAAACTTGTGTAGAAGTCTGGGTGTGTAGGTACATAAAATACATATAAAACCCACACATTGAGACCAGGCAGTGGTGGCACACATCCTTTAATCCCAGCACTCAGGGCAGGCAGATCTCTGTGAGCTTGAGGCCCACCTGGTTTACACAGTAAGTTCCAGGTCAGGTAGAAATGTTACACAAAGAAACCCTGTCTGGAAAACTCAATCAAACAAACAAAAAAACAAAAAACACACATTGATTGATCAGAACCATAAAGAGATATATTTTAAAATTTGACCTATGTATAATTTAAATAAATATATTTTAAAGTGATTCTTTGACATATGTATACTTTTACCATTTATCAGAGATTTTTAAAAACTGATTTGCACACTCATGAGGTGTTGTATGTATTTATTGTTATATCAAGAGTTTAAGTCCTGGCCTCTTGAGACTGTATGATATGGAACATCTTCAATGTTTTTCAGAGTTGACTCAACTCAAGTTTTCATTTTGTAATTTTCAATGTTGAAAAGTCCAACTTACTTAAATATGTACCCCAAAATGTTTGGGATAATTTCAGAAACTGTTGGAAATTCTGTCCTAACCTTAAATCGAATTCCTTGAGTGATTCTTTTGTGAAATGCATGTCAGCAACTTTGATTAGTGTGGGCATGTTTATGTGTCCACATGCTATGCTGTACACATGGAAGTCAGAAGAGCATAGTTTTCAACTGTTCAGTGCTCTGCTTCTACCATGCTGGTCCCAAGGATCAAGCTCCGGTTATCAGGCTTGATGGAAAGTGCCTTTAAATGCTGAGCTGTCTCGCTGGCCCAAACAGGAATTTTGGTATCAAACATTCGGATACTGTTTGATAAGCCCATGCTGAGGAATCTAACCTAAAATAAAACATTAAAATGTGTTGCTTTCCAGAATTAAACTATCATGTTTCTATCAGAGAAAATGTGTATATGAATAATAATGCACAGCATACAGTAGTCCTTAATCTCAGACAAATGTTTCAGGCAGCTTTTGCTGGCATTGTGCAGTATGATGGTATACACCAGTGGTTTTCAACCTGTTGTGGGTCATGACCCCTATGGGGGTCAAAGGAACCTTTCACAAGGATCACTTGAGACCATCAGAAAACAGAGATATTTGCATTACTATTCATAATAGCTTCAAAATTACAGTTATGAAGAAGCAAAAATGTAATTTTATATTTGGGGGTCACCACAACATGAGAAACTGTATTAAACACTAGGAAGGTTGAGAACCACTGATATACATTGTGTAAAGTATGCGCATTTGAGTGTTCTGAAACAAGGCTACAGTTACACCACACCGTGCAACACCTAGTATTCATTGTGTGCTTGATATTTAATAATTTTTGTTCATTGTTCATTCAGCAATCTTTCACTGTTAGTTCTGTGAAACTTCTGCTTGTTCAATATGACCCATAGTTCAAAAAACTGTGGTTGGAAATGCAGAGATAGCTCATAATTTAAGAGCATTTACTGCTCTTCCAGAGGACCAGAGTTCAGTTCCCAGAGCCCAGGTATGATGGTTCCCAAACAACAGCTCCAGGGGGTCTGATGCCCTCTTCTGGTGTTTATGAATATTGCAAACACACACACACAAAACACACACACACACACACACACACACTGAAGTTATAAATTGTGTTAAAGAAATCAAAGAGAATAAAGATAGAGAGTGAAATTCTGTAACATTCTGTGACAGTAGGAGACACACAGAGAGGAGACCCAATGGTATATACACTATTCCACCCTGGTTTAAGTTCCAAGAACTACTTCATGGAACAGAATTTCCAGAAATAGATTTCTTTCATAACCAAATAATAACCAGGTATTTTTAAAATCATGTTTTAAAAGCCGAACTTCATTTCCCCTTTAATGAGGAATTTTGAGCACTCTCCCTGGTGGGAACTGAGGCAATGCCTCTTATTCAAGAGGATGCCAGTCTGTGATTGTCCAATTATTCACTACATTCTGTCTTTGATGGTCCAGATGTTCTCAATTTCTTGTAATAAGCTCTTTCATCTGAAAAGTCGTTCCACTCAGAAATGCAAAACTCCTCTACGGCTCAGCTCCCGGGTATTTTTTCCCCTTGATGAGCTGGTATAATTGGCCTTCAATTTACTTATTGTTTTTCAATAGAAAGCCCAAGTTTAATTTCATTTCTGTAAACCTGGAGATAAGCGCTGATCATTCCTCCATTTAAGTCATTCCCATTATAAGGCATGTTGGGTCTGCCCTGACACCCCTCACCAATACCCTCTGGACAGCACTGTGACCTTACTTTTCTGCTTAAAAATAATTTGGGGTGGCTGAGGAGATGGCTCAGCAAGTTAAGTACTTGTGGGGCAAGCATGAGGACCACAGTGCAGATCCTCAGAAAACCAGGTAAATGCCAGGTGGGCATGTAATTCCAGTCCTAGATGGTAGAGACAGGGGATTCCCCAGAGCAAGCTGGCCAGTAACACAAACAGTATCAGTGAGCTCTGGGTTTGATTGAGAGTCCCTCCCTCAACGAGTAACATGATTCCTGTCATTGTCCCTGGTCTCCCACAAACGCACATATGCACTTTTTTTGCTTCTTGCAAAAGTGACATATTAGCATGGTGATGATTCACCATCATGAATCACCAACCTCACCTTCTTAACATTGCTGAAGCCTCGTAAACTGTAAAACATGTGGAAAATGCAGATGGGTTCCTTAACATCTGCTGGTAGAGCATGGGTTCATTCATAATAAAAACAACACACAGAGACAAAGTGGATGTTCCAGAAGATGTTACACTATTGACTCTTGAATCAGCCTTGGGTTCAAATCTATGTTCACTTGATCAGCCCAAGACCTCAATCAAATCACTTATTTGAATGTGAGGTGCCCCCTGTATGTTTCTTTTAGAACACTTGATCCATGACTAGGGCCATTGTTTTGGGAGGCTGTGGAACTTTTGGGATACAGGCTACTTGGGGTAGTCTTAGGAATTGTGACTTCCTGTCCAGGTGTAAGCTCCTACCTCTGTGGACTGAGCTGGTCCAGCTGCCATGCACTACACCTTCAGCTTCATAATGGACTCTAGGCCAGCTGTGCTCAGGGTGCCATGTTTTAATATGAGGAAATGACATTATGATTTAAAAGGCTCATGCTCAAGAGACTACACGACAACATTGCAAAACAAAAAACTTTCAACGGCTTTATTATTTTAGCATTTTCTATTCTATTTTTAAATTTGTCATATATATGTTTATGAGAAAGCTTATGTACATATGGGTGTAAGTGTGTGTATAGGCCAGAGGATAACTTGGGAATCACACCTCAAACATTATCTACCTTTTGGGGAGGCAGGTATTGAGACAGGGTTTATCTGTGTAGCTTCGAAGTCATTCCTGGGACTCACTCTAGACCAGGCTGGCCTCGAACTCACAGAGATCCGCCTGTCACTGTCTCTGGAGTGCTGGGATCAGAGGTGTGCACCACCACTACCTGGCTTATCCACCTTATATTTTGAGACTGGGATCTGGAGCTCCCTGATTAAGCTAGGATGGTGAATGAGCCCCCGGATCTGCCTGTCTCTGCCTTCCCAGCTGGGCTACAATAAGCTCATGCTGCTACATCAAGCTATTTACATTTTCACACGTATTTATTTATTATTTAAGTATTTAGTGTGTGTGCGCGCGCGCGTGTGTGTGTGTGTGTGTGTGTGTGTGTGTGTGTGTGTGTGTGCACATACTGTGGCACATGTATGGAAGCCAGAAGACAGCTTGAAAGGACCAGTTCTCTCTCTCTACCGCTTAGGTTCCGGGATCCCAGCTCAGCTCCTAAGCTTGGTGCATAGCGTCTTTACCCACTGAGCCATCTCACCTGCCCTCATCCAGCTTTTGAAGAGTAGGTTTAGGAATCTGTGTTAGGCTGCATTCACAGCTATCCTGACCCATACGTGGCTGCATGCGGCCCGTGGATTACAGGTTGGACACACCTCCAGCTATGGGCCAAAATAAAACTCTTGTTCCTTTAAGATGTTAGTGTCAATAAGGAGACAAGTAGCTGAGTGTGTCCAGTGTGCCCACTTCCTGATTGACTGGTACAACATGAGCAAAGTCACCGTGTGGTGAGACAGGCACAGGGCACCTGGAGCAGCGCACCCAGCTCACGTTCTTGCGCCCACTCAGCGGCTCTGTAAGCTCTCCTGCACAGACTCTCAAGGGGATTTGCATTTCAGAGTCTCCCCTCCCCTACCAAGGCCTCATCTCAGGATGTCCTCTTCAAAGGCAGAGTTGACACTTCTTACGGGCACCTCGCTGATGTGTTCATTTCCTTCTCTTCTGTGTCTCACTCAGAATCTCATCATATCCACTCAGTGGAAAATGATTCTGCTGGGTCCTACACGGATTCAAACAGAGAAAGTAGAAATAACCATAAATTACTTCTACTAGAGAAATGTCAGGTGGGTCTGCATGGGCCATTCATCGGAGAACATTTTTTTTTTGGTAATTCTGTAGATGAAAGGGGATTGTGAAGGTTTTGTAAGCTTTTCTTTCTTTTTTATTTTTTCCCCCTTGCCTCTTCTTCTAAATGACAGGAGCCCTCAACAGACCTTTCTCGAAGAATAATTTTCCAAGGCTACCAATTTGGATCTCAAAAGCCCAGACTCAAAGGGACCCCCTGTTTGCCATCTAAAATAAATGCCTGAATAGGTATCAGTCAAGGTACATACAGAGCAGATGGGGAAATGGATAACTACATTACCGATGGCTCTGTGAATTTAAGCGGCCTTTGTCTGAGGACAATAGCGATATGAACAAATATTCAGTTTTCACTCACAGGCCAGCCAGAGGATCAAGCAAGAAATCGAATTAAATTGGATTGAGTCAGCAACGCCAGCACCATTAGTCCATAATGCATGTGCCACCGGACATCCTGACCCACCTCTTAGAAATGTGGCCGGAAGGACTAGGGCGATAGCTCCGTCAGTAAAGTACCTTCCTTGCCAGCATGTGGACCTAAATTCAGATCACCAGTACCCACTCGTGTTAAAAAGTCAGGAATGGTAACACACAATTGTAATTCCAGCCCAATGGAGGCAGAGACAAGAAGATCCCTGGGGCTCTTTGGCCAGCTAGTCTTGCAAAATCAATGAGCTATAGGTTCAGTGAGAGACACTGTCTCAAAACCAAAGATAGAGGAGAGTGACGGAGAAAAACATCCAATATTGACGTCTGGCCTCTGCCTATGTGTCTGTACTACCCCTGTCTCCCACATACCTAACATGCAAAAGTGAAAATGAGCAAACAGAAGAGAGATGTAACTGTGTTATAGCCAACCTAAGACCTGTTTAAGTCTCGGGTTACAATACTTTAAACAGGGTTGATTCACAACTTTAAGACGCTTCCCCTGTACCTTCCAAAGAATTCGAATAATCTCAGGACCCTCCATGTTACCAATCAAGACATGTGCTCTATTTATTATTAGATTGAGGCTAAATGTAGGTTCTCTCTTCAGGATGACCTGATCATAATCTTCTGCAACCCTTGATTGTGTTGACAATCAATTTAAATCACCTATAAGAAAGTTTTGACTTTGCCCGTAATTGGTGCTCTAAAGGAAAATGGAAATGCATCTCTATCTTCCTTCTACTCACATCTGCTCCCCCCTTGTAAGCCCTATTTCAGTTGAAGGCACCAGCCTACAACTAATCCATCATCTTTGACACCTCCTTCTCCTCTCTCCCTTCCATATCTAATCAAGCACACATCCAGATAATTCCATTAAACAGAGTTTTCATACCCCGCTTCCCCTGTCCTTCACACTACCACTTACTCTGCTCAGGTGTGAACTATGAACTGTCATTGGTGGGTAGCCCCCAGGAGGCAAGCGTTCTCAAGGTTTCTAGTTCAAGGCAATGAAACTTGGCAAAGATAGGCTCTAGTCCCTAAATGGCCAAAGGGTAAGGGAAATTAATTCAATCTGAGCAAGATATGTTTTCTCTGAATGATTTAATTGAATGGGACTTGGCAAAAAAACTGGGAGCATCCAGGACAGAAAGCCACACACAATGATAAGGAGAAGCAAAATTATGACTTTGTGGTTTCTCTGTAGTGGTGAGTGCCTGTAGTGCCAGGAGAGGTGAGGATCATGAGTTTGAGGCTTGCTTGGGCTACATAGTGAGATCATGTCTCTAACAATAGAGTCATGGACTCAGGTGTTTGCTCTGGGGTTTAAAAAAGAGTAAAAGGGTGGACAGTGTAGTGCAGTGGTAGAAGCCCGGCCTAGAATTTTCCGGTAAGGGGATGAGATCAATGGTAGAGCACCTGCCTAGAATCCCCCAGTGAGGGGTTTTGAGTGTGGTTCACTTTTAGAGTGCCTGCCTAGAATTCCCTAGTCAGGGGCTAGGAATATACCTCAGTGGGTGAGTATGAATGACTAAAATTCCCCCCAATGAATGGGTAGGGGCAAGGGTTAGTAGTAGAGTGTCTGACTAGATTCTTCCAGTGAGGGACTGGGGCGTGGCTGATTGGTAGGGTGCTTACCTTGATCCACTATGATGGACAGGCTGTGGCTCAGTGTTAGAGACCTTGCAGAAGACTTTGACTTTGATCCCCAGCACTGCAAAAGAACAAGAGCAAATACTAAATGTACATGCCGAATCAACAGCTCTAACAGCTACTAAATGAAAGAGATCAAGGTCAGACAGGCTCAGATCTAATAGTTTCTTACTAAAGGACAAACCACATAAAATTATAGACTCAATGCCATTGTTTCCCAGGAGCAAGTTGATTGACAAATATCTGAATGATCTTTCTACTTTCATTTGAACTTGATTCAAGCACTGGGCTCTTGTCTGGACAATTATTGATTATGTATAACTGGAATTGTATTTAAGTCCCTCATCTCACTTTTATTCTAAGAAGTGCATTCAGCTAAACACCCTTAAGAGCTGATGACTATAATCAAACCATAATAATAATAACAATTACAGCAATGACAACAATACCCTTGTATCCCACTTCAGAGTGGATACAATATCTTCCTTCCAAGATGCTTTCACGTGCACACTCTAATGTACAAAACTTTGCTTTTCTGAGAAGGCATGGATTAGGCTCTAAAGCAAAGAACTACGAAGCAGAAGACAGCTCATGAGCTGACACACCATGGTCTTGAGGGCAAGTCTTCTCTGTGCTCTTCTGTTGTCTCTGGATTCAATCACTATGTCAGTATATATCTGGCCGATTTCTGAGACCCACCCTCTCCATCTCAGTGGATTGTCTGGCCTTTAATTGCTCTAGACCTATTTAGTCTGCTGGGTAGAGAGACTGGAAGAGTCCAGGAAATAGTATCAGTCTAGATATGCATATCCTTAACTAATGATTGGTAAATTTGGAAACTGAAGACATAATCTAAAGAATGGAGGGAGGGAAGGAACCTAAGTTGTATTCAGTGGATTCGGGGTTTGTCTTAGCACTTTGATACCTGGGATGTCTAGCTTCCTTGCCCCGATAGTCCTCTAGAATCTGCATATCTAGAAAATTTGCTTTCACCAAGTAACATGACCTCCCCCACCACCGTGTGTGTAAGGAGACACAGAGAGAGAGAGAGAGAGAGAGAGAGAGAGAGAGAGAGAGAGAGACAGAAAGACAGACAGACAGAGACAGAGAGACAGAGAGATGGAGAGACAGAGAGACAGAGAGAGTGAGAGATCTCCAATTCTTTATCTTGGTCAGTATGTATTAGTGGCTTTTCTCATTGTTGGTACAGTACACTTTACCAAAGCAGCTGGGGAAAAGGGTCTGATTTGGCTCAGAGTACAGTCCATCAAGATAGAGAAGATGTAAGGGCACTGAGTACGGGGCAACTGGCCACATGGCATCCATAGTCAGGAAGCAGATAGGGGTAAATGCTGGTGCTCAGCTTGCCCTCTCCCTTGTATTTACCCCAGCCCATGGGAGGGTGTCATTCACAATCAGAGTGGGGCTCCCCACTTCAATTAATCCAATCCAGAAACTCCCTTGCAGACATGCCCAGAAGTGTGTTTCCATGGTGATTCTTGTTAGGTTTGTGCCACACGCTAATCAGATCACATTTTCCAGCAGTGTTACAGACATTAGCAGGCACCCCACGATGAATGTGTCTGTGAGTCTGTAACAAGCTCCTTGGGCACCTGGACTTCAAGAAAGCAATGATAAATTCCAGAGACAAAGTGGCCTGATCCTTATTAGTTGTTTCTGGGACCCCTGCTGTTTGCCACAGGGAGAGGGAAACAGCTCATGGGAGTTTGTAAAGCAAACTATTTAGACATGCCGATTCTACAAGACTAACAGAGGACAAGGAAGCTGGAACCCCAAAATGTACACTCCCAAACCACTGAATACATTCAAGGTTCTTTTCCTCCATCCTTCACTCCATTCCTTAGATCCTGTCTTCACTTCCCTCATTGTGCAAATACTTCCCCCTTCCTCCTGAACTCTCCTGAATGCCTCCGAGTAGCCTCTTTGCTCTTCAGGGTGGTCTGAGAGACACTTCTGTTTCCACTGGACCCAGCCACGCTCTCTCTGGCTTAAAATAAATCTTGTGATGCGAAGGAACAATTCTTCCTCGGTGTCTTCCACTGTATCGGAGACTCTCAACTCTAAACCTCAAGAGTTGCAGTTCCAGGAGAGACTCAAGAAGCATGCAGCTTCCATCACATCCTCACAGAACTGAGCCTCGGAGGCCAATGCAGCAGCTGAGGTTCAAGGAGGATCCACTCTGCCCCCTCCCACCTTTTCTTTGTAACCCTTTCATGTCCCTCTCACTCCTAAATAAACTCGGAATCATTAATCCTCTTCCCAGAAATGTCTAGGGCGAGTGCTGCTGGGCCCTACACGGATTCCCTGAACCGACAGCCAACTGAGCTGCCTGAGTCAATACCTGGGAAGAGCCCCTCTCTTAGGCATCCTTGCATTGTCCACAATGAAGTAGACGCCACCGTTACTAGGCCTTAGTTGTTCCAGCTCAAGTACTGAGCCCTGAGTGGGCAGTCATCTGCACACTGGGGTTAAACATAAAGTCATTAGCCTTATTAGCATATTGGCTAGGGTCACAGTCTGTGCCCTTACAGCCTGAACAAACTGGGCTTGGTCATGGGTCTCCAACAGGCCAGTGAAAGAGACAACAGTAAAAGGCAGAGCAGGGGGTGTGCAGTGAAGGTAGTCAAACCGGGAAGATGAACAAAGAAGCCCAGTGACTTCTCAAGTGCATCTCCACATCTCCAACATGAAGGTTGAGATTAAGTGGAGAGCAAGAGCTGTGCATAGCTAAGATGTCCTGGACAAGGCTTGGTCCCTCCCATTCTTAATCCATCGTTGTCTCAGTTATAGTTTACTCTGCAAAGTGGCCTGAGAAATGCAGCCCAGCTAGGGAAGGATATCCAGGGTTTGGTTTGTGTTCTTGTTTTCTCTCAGTTGGCTTCCTTTATGTTGTTCCTGATGTCTCTCTCCATGTTCCGGTTCTCCTGTCATAGAACATAGTTTTTCCGTTTAATGTGTCACAGCCCACTCCTAGAGGCTAACCTTCTGCAGGTGTAACCCCATCATCAGAAAAGGTGTTGATAAGACACCATCTAATGATCAGAAATACAATGCATTGGAACAAGATATAGCCACCTCAGGCTGTCCTTGGAGAGCTCAGCGTTTGTCATGAGCCTTATTTGTTGTATCAGGAAGACTGATACTCCTCAGTAAGTTCTTATAAGATCTGTCTCCAAAGACAGAGGGGAAGTGGACAGATCAAGTCGCAAGCATGTTTTGTGGAAAGATACATGTTTACTCCAGTAATGCTCTTAAGAGCAGAGAGCGGGTGCTTCTTCTGTCTCTAGATCTCTGACTCACAGGATGGTGTCAGAGAGATATGAGCACTTCAGGGTAAAATCAGCTGTCCCCACCCACTCCTTTCCATTTTCAAACATGAACCAGTTAATCTGGGCGGGGGAGATAGTGTTTCTTTATACAATGGAACGAACAGTTGAGACTCCTTTAAGAAGCTATGTAGAGGAAATAAATCAGAAACTTCCAGAAGAGCTGTATCAGATTAAGGGTGGCCTCAACACAGGTTCCTAACATGTTTTTCTAGGTTCAGTCAATCACATAGGCAATGGGGAGGAATGTAAATACCAGGCTGCAAATCTTTAGGTCTGTCTACTTATTTTCTAGACAGCCACATTTTGCGAGCCTCCATTGATGCCATGTAGATTCCCTTAGACTTGAGAATGGTTTCTGTTATAGTTTGATAGCAAGATTTCAGAATAGAATAGGGACAGCTCTGACTTCTTTCCATTAGGATCAGAACCTTGTAACTGACAGCCTCCTAACAAGCCAGGTCCATTCTCCAGAGTCCACTTAAAGACACAAGAGTGAAAAAAAAGATTTATTTAATATGGGAAAATTGTGAAGAACAGAGTTGTTCAGTGAATGCCCCTCCCAGTTTAGGTTTAAATGGAGGAGGAAAGATATGCATGGTCGAGTATGGTTGTGTCCACCACTGAACTATCATTTGTTTTAGCTCCAGTCTCTCCAACAAGGTGGTCTGACAAGCATCAGAACTATGTAAAATCTCTTCCAAGAGAAAAAAATTCCCCTATGACTATAACAAGCTTTAGCCTCTTCCTTCTTCTAGCATGAGACTCCTGGCGAAATTCAAATTCCTTATGTACATTATCTCAAAAGTCTGATAGTCAAAGGCAAGGGCATAGGTATCTCTTTAAAGTATTTCTATTCCTTCTAGGTAAGTTACACATTTAGCTGCAAGGGCATGATTATCTCCACAGAACTTCCTTAGGTTCAGTAGGACAATGTCCACTTGGCCATGTATGACCCAGAATGGACAGCCTAAGAAGTATGTACTTTGAATGCATATTAGTTTGGTAGACCACACATTAGTTTGGGTACTTGCATGTACTCTCTTCTGACTTCTTTTCCAGTGTTGCAATAGAACACAGAACCTCCCCACCCCCCAAGCAATCACAGAAGTAAAGGGTTTATTTGGCTTATACTTCCATGCCATAGCCCACCAGTAAGGGAAGTCAGGACATGAGCTCAAACAGGAAGTTTAAAGCAAGCAACAACCATAGAGGAATATGCTTGGCTGAATTCCTCACTGACTTGTTCTTAGCTTGCTTTCTTATACAGATCAGGATGCCCTGCCAAGGGAATGGTGTTGCCCAAAGTGGTCTGGATCCTCCTGCATTAATTAAGAATTAAGACAATCTCCCACTGAAATGCCTAGAGGCAAATCTGATCTAGAAAATTTAGACTTTCCTCTTTGATGACCATGGGTTACATCAAGTTGATAATTAAAGGTATCTAGGGCACATGTCAAAGCCAAATGTGACTGTACTCCATGTGTCCATGTGTCAAATTCTACAGCTCTCAACCTGCTTTTGTAGTTACTCTACCCAGGCTTACATCTCTGTTATTCTGAACAATGCCCTTGTCAGTCTCCACTGACCTCCCTGTTGCTAACTCCAGTGCTCTACTATAGTCCTATGTCACATTTCATCAATCAACAGCATTTACCAGCCATTCACACATTCTTCATTAATTAATTTCCTTTGTGTGGCTTCCAAGATACCAGAT